CAATAAACTGCAATACACCATGTATTCTCACATTTTTCTGTCAGAACCAGTATAAACCTTTTCAGCAGTTTGATCTCCATGACTGTGTTCTTGGATCACCACTGTTCCTTTCTTGTACCACTTTTGATAACCACAGATACAGACTACTGCAGACTGGAAACACACACAGTGAGCTGCAGTTTTAGAGATGCTCTAACCCATTCCTCTAGCCATCATAATTTAGCCCTTGGCAAACTCCTTCAAAACCTTATGGTTGCCCATTTTTCCTGCTTCTGATACACCAATGTTGACGGCAAAACATTCACTTGTTTCCTAATATACCCCACCCACTAACAAGTGCCATAATGAATAGATTATTACACTGATAATGTTATTCAAGTATTTATTTATATAGATAGAATTCATGTGTTTATACTATGGGAAGACAGCAGATTATTTCACTAAATAGTCTGAAAACAGTTTTTTTTTGAGAATGTGCCAAAATAAGACTTAAACAGCATACAGTGGACCTCATTACTACTATGCAGTCTCAAAACATGCACAGGGTGTGAGCATGTCAGTATTATGGGACAGTTTAAGGTCACTGCAATAGAAGTGTTTGTTTCCACTAATTAAACCAAAATGGCATTCAATTGGTCACCTCACTCACCTCAGCTGGACTCCAACAGAAAGTCAGAGTAAAGAAGGAACGTCATTTAATATCAAAGCAAGTATCAGATTTTTTGTATTGCACTATACTACTGTAATAATAGCGCAGTTAGCCTGTGTGTGTGTGTGTGTGTGTGTGTGTGTGTGTGTGTGTGTGTGTGTGTGTGTGTGTCGACAATGTTGTCTCTATTGTATATGCTGCCACGTCCCTACATATGACCCTGCAGAGGCAGGGGTGGGGGTAGTGACGAGTTAGTTTCTTAGAGGGGGGGGGGGGGCATTTTGTGCTTTAGGCCAGTTCAACACTGAAGCGAGCACTTTACCACACAGACATCTTTTGGCAGCTGAAATACATGTAAAAAGCCTCAAAGAGACACACATCCACGCGCCTGTACAGAAAAGATGCGCATCGCAAGCATGTTTGCGGGTGTCCGCAGGCTGCGTCTTGTGACAGCGACGTCGTACGCCGCGGCTGTTCTAGTAGCCTTATTTATTAAGCGCGCACTGCCAGGCCTGCTGCCAAGTCTGTATCAACCTCTTCCCAACGATAAGAAAAAAGCATACAAACACATTTGTTGTGCCTACCTTTCCATGGCACAGTCCCTCCCTCCTCCTGCTGCTGTAAAAACAAAGACGACAATATGAGCCCACATTAAAACAACCCCCGAAGCTGCAGCTCATTAAAATCCAAACGGTGTTTTCCAAGCGGTGTCCAGGAGGGTTACTCCTCCTTTAAGCCGAACATGAAGCCAAGGTCGCAACGTGTGGTCCGCGCGATCCACAAGATGCAAGGGATACATTAGACGAAATCATCCAAATATGGCAGTGACGTGCCAAATTATCCCCAGAATTTAAAAAAAAAAGTGAAAATGAATAAATACCGACAGCAGGAAGTGACAGGTAGGCGCATTCATCTTGATAGCCAGGTGTATTGCCTAATAGTGTGCTTGGCTTCACAGACAGCTCCCGCCTCTAAGAGCAACGGACCAATCAGGGAACGGATCAAAGACAGCGTCCTTAAGACGCAGGTGCATCTATGTTGCCTTCAACAGCAGTATATAAGCTCGTACATTATACTCCTTTTATACCCGATTCAGGGGTTTATAAGAAATACAATCATGGGAGTAATTTGTAGTGTTTTTGGTGGTGATTTTGTGCAAGACATAGCGAACCAGTCTGCACCATACTGAGAGTCATGGAGCCAGCGAGGAAGAGAAGACACTCTAATGTCTAATTATCTTCTCTATTATCTCTCTGGTTGTGTAACCCAAAGAAAGTTTGATAAAGCAGAATGAGAGCAGCTAGGCTCTTTTAAGCCTATAGAATAGAATAGAATAGAATTCAACTTTATTGTCATTGCACATGTCACAGGTACAAGGCAACGAAATGCAGTTTGCATCCATCCAGAAGTGCTTTAGCCATAATATAGATATATTACAAAATATATATTAGCAATAATATAGATTTGTAGATATATTACACAAATGGGTCTGTTATAGGTATAAGGGTACAAAATATGGGTCTATTATGTGTATGTTACAATGTACACGGTATGAAGGTATGTTATGAATATGCTATAACTATAAGTATGTACATGCTGTAGTGGGTGTACAAGCTATGTGCAGGCTATGAACATGATATAAATATGAAAACTATACAGAAATATAAAATATGAAACTATACAGAAATCTGAACTGTGCAATTTATAAATTCAATTCAATTCAATTTTATTTATATAGCGCCAAATCACAACAAAAGTCGCCTCAAGACGCTTCATAGATACAGAGAAAACCCCAACAATCATATGACCCCCTATGAGCAAGCACTTTGGCGACAAAAACTCGCTTTTAACAGGAAGAAACCTCCGGCAGAACCAGGCTCAGGGAGGGGCGGCCATCTGCTGCGACCGGTTGGGGTGAGAGAAGGAAGACAGGATAAAGACATGCTGTGGAAGAGAGACAGAGGTTAATAACAGATATGATTCAATGCAGAGAGGTCTATTAACACGTAGTGAGTGAGAAAGGTGACTGGAAAGGAAAAACTCAATGCATCATGGGGATCCCCCGGCAGCCTATGTCTATTGCAGCATAACTAAGGGAGGATTCAGGGTCACCTGGTCCAGCCCTAACTATATGCTTTAGCAAAAAGGAAAGTTTGAAGCCTAATCTTAAAAGTAGAGATAGTGTCTGTCTCCCGAATCCAAACTGGAAGCTGGTTCCACAGAAGAGGGGCCTGAAAACTGAAGGCTCTCCCTCCCATTCTACTTTTAAATACTCTAGGAACAACAAGTAGGCCTGCAGAGCGAGAGCGAAGTGCTCTAATAGGGTGATATGGTACTACAAGGTCATTAAGATATGATGGGGCCTGATTATTTAAGACCTTGTATGTGAGGAGCAGGATTTTGAATTCAATTCTGGATTTAACAGGAAGCCAATGAAGGGAAGCCAAAACAGGAGAAATATGCTCTCTCTTTCTAGTCCCTGTCAGCACTCTTGCTGCAGCATTTTGGATTAGCTGAAGGCTTTTCAGTGAGTTTTTTGGACATCCTGATAATAATGAATTACAGTAGTCCAGCCTGGAAGTAATAAATGCATGAACTAGTTTTTCAGCGTCACTCTGAGACAGGATATTTCTAATTTTAGAGATGTTGCGCAAATGGAAGAAAGCAGTCTTACATATTTGTTTAATATGTGCGTTGAAGGACATGTCCTTGACTGGAGGCCAAGGTAATGCCATCCAGAGTAAGAATCTGGTTAGATACCATATTTCTAAGCTTTACAGGGTCGAGTACAATAACCTCAGTTTTATCTGAATTAAGAAGCAGAAAGTTAGCGGCCATCCAGATTTTTATGTCTTTAAGACATTCCTGCAGTTTAACTAATTGGTGTGTGTTATCTGGCTTCATGGACAGATAGAGCTGGGTGTCATCTGCATAGCAGTGAAAATGTATGCTATGTCTTCTAATGATGCTGCCTAAAGGAAGCATGTATAATGTAAACAGAATTGGTCCTAGCACTGAACCCTGTGGAACTCCATAATTAACCTCAGTGTGTGAAGAGGACTCTCCATTTACATGCACAAATTGGAGTCTATTAGATAGATATGATACAAACCACTGCAGTATAAACAGTTGTAAACAGTTGTAGAATTATAATTATCGTATTGTACATAATGATTGTGTCTACAGCATTTACAGTAGTGCAGTTTAGATCAGTGAAATATGTAGATAATTCCTACAGAGGCTATATAAAGTGCTAGTGGTTTTGAGTGGTGGTTTAGTCCATGTTATTATTGTGTGTATGAGGGTACAGTTGTCCATTTGTTTGTTTTTGTTTTTGTCCATTGTGGTGTATGTGGTATGTGCTGTCCTTCTAAAAATGATAAATGTAAACTACATAGTAGATGCACTGGTCCTTATATAGCACTTCTTCTATTTAACATGACAATTCAAAAGATTTAATACAATACGCTTCATTCATCCAATGGATGCAAGTTGGGGTTAGTATCTTGTCCGAGACAATTTGGCATGCAGACTGAAGCAGCCAGGGATCAAACCACCAAACTTTCAATTAGTAGAGGACCTGCTGTACATGCTGAGGTACAGCCACCCCTGTGCCTCAGGAGGCCAGTATTAAGCCACTGGGTGTCACCTCTGTCATTGCGCCCCAGGGTGGCTGTGGCTACATGTAGCTTGCCATCACCAGTGTGTGAATGTGTGCATGAATGGGTGGATGACTGAATGTGTAAAGCGCTTTGGGGTCCTTAGGGACTAGTAAAGCGCTATACAAATACAGGCCATTTACCATTTACCACTTTGTGTATATGACCTGTTAGTTATATTCTAGTTAGTTATATACAAATGGAGATTGGGATGTCTTCAAGTGACTGAACATTAGCTTCATAGATGTGTGTTAAGTGAATCTTTCAGTTTCTAGTTTTACGATGTTATTGCATCATGCTCATACAGTTTATGTATGCGATTTGTTAACCAAGCTTGCAAGTGTTAGCTGATAAGTTCAACTTTGGTCAAAATAGGGTTTTGGACATGAAATGGGAGTAACTTCAGAACTGAAAAGTAGTCCAAAACCAATTAAATTCTGATTACCTGTTGATCAAGAATGATCAATATTTAGAAACTCTTTTCTAATAACTCTTTCTTTCTGTCTGCTTTGCTTTTGTTGCAAATCCATCACCTCTCTACAGTTTTTGATTTATTTGTATGCTCTTTACACCTGTGTTTTGTCCCTCCTCTCTTACTTAGGGCGTGTCCTGTGCTTGGAGTGCACTGTCATATATTAAGTATCCCACATTCTTTAGTGACTCACAGGTACTGCAGGTTAGACAACACGACTAGCTATTTCAGCAGCCGGTAATATAATAGTTGCCATTTACTGGGCCTGCTGAGAAGTTGTATTTTTACTTTTGTGCATGAAGGCTGGATACTGTGCGGTACTTAACTAAAGGTAACTTGTAGTGCAAAGGCACAGTGCTACATGGAAACTATAGAAAGCATTGCGGCAAATACTGCTCTTGTTAGAGCCAGAGAAGGTAAGAACTTTCTATATCCAGAAAGTTTATGTGAGAAGATGACATGCTAAAATGCTGACAATTTTTGACTTATTTCTCAATTTGGGACATGACCTCCATCAGAAGTAGTGCTTATATGGGTTATCTCAGGACAATGATTTTTCAGTCACAGTGTGGAAGAGTGATGTATGATAAACCTGATCAATGATGAGTTTTAAGTCTGGTTTTTTTTACTCACCAGTTCAGTTTAGGATAAATCAGTTTATCAATTTTAGCATTTCTGAATAAAGTGAAATTCTCTCTGAAGGCAACATAAATTTATTTGCTGTTACTTGAGACATGAAATAAATTTGGAGTGTGGAAATTGAGACGCAAACTATGAGTGATAGTGTGTAAAGTACGTTGCAGAGTAATGTGGTTCCACAGGCTTTGTTTAATTTGTTCCTGGAGCTATTTATAGTTCACTCACTGTAGTCGAACAAGCTATTGTCTGAAACCTGAAGGACTAGGCATGCTGATTGACATCTCAGTCTGAGTTATTCAATATGTCAGCACTTTGGTTATAGGCATGTATGCATATTCACAACACTAAAGAACTCCTTTTCTGTGTCCCCACTGTCTGTAGGTGGAGGAAGGAGCTGGAAATGGAAAGAAATGCTTCGCTTTCCCCACATTAGCCAGTGCAAAGACCTGGCCATGAACATAGGTGTGTATCTGCAAGTGTGTTTCAATAGTGTGAACAAGTTCTGGTTCTTTGTGAGATTTCACACCATATATTTTATTTTATATTTCTCCATTAGAACGAGACTACTATAGTCTATGTGTGAAGCAGCCTATTGGCAAGAAACTGTTTCAGCTCTTCTGTCGGAGTCGGCCTGATCTGCAGAACTACATTTCCCTCCAAGATGCTTTGGTACAAACTGTGAAAAATTCTTTTACTGGAATTTGAGTCCTTAAAAATATTGAAAATAATGGCACTTAAATATCAGTAATTATTTCAGAAGCTAGAGTTGCATTGCTCTTGTGTGTTTTAAGTAATGACATTGCAGTGCAGTGCGCTTTTTAAAAATATTAAACGAGAGATAAGAGATTAAGAGCAAAACAAATGTGAAACTAACATGAAGAACATTAGAAAACTGAGAACTGAAAATATACTTGAAGAATTACACCATAACACATATAATATAACATCAAAATAATCTATAGCATGTTGGAATTTCCATCTGTTATTTTTTTCTTTCTTTCTTGATTACTGATGGATAATGATGCATGAGACACCGCGGCATTATTAAATGATAAGAAAAAAAACATCAGCCAAATTTAACTCTGGTATATTCATATTGAGTAAAAAAGAAATTTTGGACTTCAGTGCACAAGAGGGTGACTCTTGTAGATACAACAGCTCATATAACCTTGTATCCTGTGCAGAAACAAAGTGTTACTGGACAGGTAGTATCTAATGAGCCTGACCCTCAAAACACTCAAAGCACCAGCGTTAAGCGGCAGCTGATTGCCTTATCAAGTGGCTAACCACTGCAACACTGGCAAATGTTTCAAAACAAACAAACAAACAAAAAACCCTAATATTTTTACCGTTACTTCAACTGGCAAGTAATCACATCCAGGGTACAGTAGGTAGTCTCAAAGGCAATATTAAACCTGAGAAATTAGATGAGAAGTGTGCTTCTCTAAAACATTTTAACCGCCCGAGTTTACACAGCATTTTGTAAACAATAAATTATTCATTGACACAAGATCTTTTTAAGTTTATTGCACGACTTACAGATTGTGAATGAACTAAATCATTTAATTTACTGGTGATTTGCTTCATGTGTGAGCATCTGTATGTCTGACCACTTAAACATTTTGCAGTAAATAGCTCAAATTACTTCAGAAAAACTGACATCAGACCTTCTGTCTGATACTAGATTTTACTGTCTAAACCCTTTGAAGAACTAACCTGTACATATAGACTCTGCATCCACATATGCAAACAATCTTAATACCTATTTTCTTCTTTAGGACAACTTTGACATTCAGTCAGATGACAAAAGGAAAGAGTCTGGGAACAGGATCATCCAGAGATTCCTCATGAAGCAGGTGTGACAACATTTGTAGAAAACATGGTTGATAGTTTACAACCGTGGATATTTTTCTTTCATTATTTTCTCCTCTGAAGTTTGAAACAAGAATTCTTATATCATGCTACACATCACTTTATCCAAGTGTATCATGTTCCCTCAGTCCAGTGAGTGTGTGTCCATCCTACTGAGGCATGAAAGAAGCTGCAATCAGAGTCTGGAGCTCAATCCCTGTGGTGATGTCTTTCATGGCTGCAGGGAGTAAGTTATATCTCTCTGGTCTGCTTATAGATGGTCATGTTAAAACAAGTTTGTAGGGGACTCAATGCAGTCTAGAATACTTTGGTATACACAGGAATTCATAGTCGACTCAATGACTGCAAAGTGCCCAGGTCCTGTGGTTGCATTGGTGAAAAAGGTTATTTTCACCAATCTGGCATTATACATTGTGGCCAAATGTATCCAGTTTGGTTTTGTCTGTCCAAAGGACATTGTTCCAGAAGGTTTAGGGGTTTCAGATTTATCTTCAGCTATGCCATATTTTACTTAGAGAGAAGCAAGTTTCTCCTGGGAAGCAACACTTATTAGATCTTTTTCTAATTGTACTGTTGTAAATCTTTAACATTTAGCATGCTAACAGAGGCCTATAGAGTCTGAGATGTATTTTTTGTGTGTTTTGTAATTTCTTTGAGTATTGCACAGTCAGATTTTGGTGTGAATTTTCTGGGACATCCATGCCCAAATCTTCCTCAAATCAAACACATCTGAATGCATCTAACCATAACACTGCACTATACTGACTGTATATAATTTTAACTACTGGCTTAACTGGAGTTTTGCTGGCCTGATGTGATGACTATTTTTCTAATTTTGCTAAATTACTGGGATATACACAGTAATATATACAGTATGTCCAGTAGCCAATAGAAGAACTGCTTTTCAGAATCAGTTCTCTAAAGTGTGGCACATGCTGTTGAAAACTGTTGACCAATGGAGCAGATGGAGTTCATCTTTCTTTTGTGGATTAGAGACCTACATAAATACCTCAGCAACGAGCCCTTCACCCAGTACCAGGACAGCATGTTCTTTGCCCGCTTTCTACAATGGAAACAGTTGGAGAGGTCAGTAAATGTGTATGCCCAACAAAGGTATGAGACGAATTGTTTCATGGATCAGTGGTTAGCCAAGTAGCTGCTGTTTACAGTTCTTCTTAAAAAATGTATTTACAAAAATATTTCAAATGAAAACAACATGTCTGTCTCTTTCAAGGCAGCCTATCATGAAGCAAACATTTCGACAGTACAGACTACTGGGGAAAGGAGGGTTTGGAGCGGTATGTATGTTTTGGGATTTACTCTAAGACACAGTGTTAGCATATCAGACACTTTATGGTATATGTTTTTGAGGTATGTCTTTACCCACGGTGTATCAAAATGAAGGTAGTTTTTTTATTTTTTATTTTACATACATATTCCCTTGGGGGAATTCATGGACTTAGACCTTCACAACACAGTTCTACATCTCTGTTACTCTTTAGTTCCCTTACATATATTAGTATACTTTCACTTTGCAGCAACCTATTCTTTTTTGACATATTGAACAGCTCTGATACTGGCAACAGCATTAGATACAAATTTATCACAAGGGTGTTATTGTCTTACAATCCTGTTATTCTGTCTTGAGGTGTGGGCCTGTCAGGTGAGAGCCACAGGCAAGATGTATGCCTGCAAAAAGCTGGAAAAAACCCATGTAAAGAAGAGGAAAAGAGAGGACATGGCTCTCAATGAGAAAGAGATACTACAGGAACTGGATAGTCGCTTTGTGGTGAGACTGCTGTGCTCTTCAAATATTTGCATCATTTTTTAATTTGTCAATTTTTTTTACATTTTCAAACTAGTTTTTGTTCATTGTGATGGTTTTCACATTGCCTTGTTCATTTTTTTTTTTAAAATCAGTATGTTTGTTAACCAGTGTTATCTGTGTAAGCAAAGTTGGGTTATTCTTAAAAAGCAAATCCATGACCTGCACTGTTACAATGGTTGATATTTCTTTCTTCGTTAAAATAAACATATACACTGTTATTGAGTTACACTGTGACTACAATTCAGTTGAATTCAATTCAATTCAATTCAATTCAATTCAATTTTATTTATACAGCACCAAATCACAACAGCAGTTGCCTCAAGGCACTTTAATATTGTAAGGTAGACCCTACAATGATAGATACACAGAAAAAACCAACAATCATATGGCCCCCTATGAGCAAGCACTTTGGCGACACTGGGAAGGAAAAACTCCATTTTAACAGCAAGAAACCTCCAGCAGGCACAGGGAGGGGTGGCCGTCTGCCGCGACTGGTTGGGGAGAGAGAGAGAAGACGGTAAATGGTAAATGGCCTGTATTTGTATAGCACTTTACTAGTCCCTAAGGACCCCAAAGCGCTTTACACATCCAGTCACCCACCCATTCACACAGACATTCACACACTGTTGATTTGCCATCAACAGTGTGTTGATGGCACCCACCCTGGGGTGCCATCAACCCTACACCCACCCTGGGGTGCACTGATAGAGGCGAGGCTGCCGGGCCACCGGGCCCTCTGGCGCCACCGGGCCCTCTGACCACCACCAGTAGGTGGGCAAAGGGTCAAGTGTCTTGCCCAAGGACACAACGATCGAGACTGTCGGAGCTGGGGCTCAAACCGGCAACCTTCCGATTACAAGGCGAACTCCCAACTCTTGAGCCACGATCGCCCCAGCGGGATAAAAGACATGCTGTGGAAGAGAGACAGAGATTAATAAAGCTTAAGCTCACACCGAACGAGACATTAATAAGCAATTCAAAATAGTCTTTATAATTCCATCATAACTGACACTTGTTAAAAACTCCAGCTGCCAAATGTTTGAACAAATCATTTAACAAAAATGATCTTTACTGAATGTTTATACAAGGTATTTTTACAGTGAAGAGAAGTTTATCCTGTGACACCGATAGGAAACCTGTATAGGGTATACCCCATCTTTCACCTTATCACAGTTGGGATAGGGATAATGGACATGAACTCTTCTCTATGTTTTATAAAAGACATAGAAGAGGTGGCTGTGACTCAGGAGGTAGAGCAGGTCAATTATTAACTGGAAGGTTGGTCGCTCCCGTCTGCATACTCACCTATCCTTGAGTGCTCAAGTTAGGCAGAAAAGTACTTAATAAGAACCAGTCGATCTACTATTTATATATGCTTAATTAGAGACTCATCACATCATTCAACAGGTTTTATACATGTTCTGACACACATCCATCCATCAATTTTCTTCCATCCATCCATCCATCCATCCTCTTCTGCTTTTATCCACTACATCGAGGCTGTAGCCTATCGCATCCATCACAGGATGAGAGGCTGGACTAACAGGGCTAACACTGAAGCAGACAACTATTCAGACTCATCATCATCTTTGAGCTGTGGAAGGAAGTCTGAGAACTCTAAGAGAACTCATGCAGATGAAGAGAGAACATGCAAACTATACACAGAAAGGCCTCGGACTGGATTCAAACCAAGGACTTTCTTGGTGCCACTATACCTCGTCTCAGCAATATAGCTGAGTATAAAATAATCAGGGAGAGAACAAGTTCAAAAGCAACCTCGGTCAGACAGAATTCTGTTTATACTGATCTACTGATTCAGATGAATTTCGTGATCAAATAGTCTTATTTTTCTTAAGAATGATGTCCAGTTTTTATAATCAGTGAGCACAACTCAATTTTTCTAAAATGTGTATTTGCAGTTTCTTTTAACCTCCTAAGACCGGAACTCTTCCATGACATGCATTTTCAATTTCTCTTTGATATTTGGGCTGATTGGGACCCAATTAATGTAAAAATAAAGAATTACCAGATTTTTTTTTTTTTACCTGATTTTTGTTTCTAAGAAAAATGAGAGCCACATATGAGGATATTCATTTAACATTTTGATAGCACAGTAGCAGTATAATGTCCTCGTAAGTGGATATAGAGCAAAATTGAGTATTTTGGTCTAAATAACCCAAAATGTGATGTCCACATATGTGGATGCCAGGTCCTAGGAGGTTAAGGATAATGTTTAATCCTTATGATTGGCTTTCTTTCATAGCGAGTGGTGTTCTGCACTGAATTATACTGAATTGTTTCAAGTATTTTGTAAAAGCTGAATTTATAGTATTGCTGATGCCTTAGTGAGTTTTGTTTTCTTATTTTTGTTTTATTTTTTTATTGTTCAGGTGAATCTGGCATATGCTTATGAGACCAAGCACAATCTCTGTATGGTTTTGACCATGATGAACGGCGGTGACCTAGGGTTTCACATACATCGCATGGGGTCACCTGGTCTGACCAAAGACAGGGTACGTTTCTACGCTGCAGAAGTCTGCTGTGGTTTAATTCACCTCCACCAAAAGTCAATATTATACAGGTAAGTGTATTTCTACATGCATTAAATCACATCTCTACTAGTCGGGAAGAAGTTTTTAAATGCTGTGTTTCTTCTAGAGATTTGAAGCCAGAGAACATTCTCTTGGATGACAATGGTATGCGCAACTACAAAACAGTGTTTTTTTTAATCATTCATGTACAATAAATAGCCTCAACTGTACTACAGTAACATCCAAGCAGATAGCATTCCAACATCCACACATAGCAAAAGCTGGCAGTTACTTTCTTGCTATTTTTAACTCTGAAAATAATCTGACTGTTTGAAATGCCACACATTTGGCCATGCAGCCTATCAGAAGCATCCACCTGCTCTCAAGAAAAATCTGTGTTGATTGTATTTTGACAGGGGTAAAAAAAAAAAGAAAAAGAAAAGTAGTTTGAGGAAGTAAAAAAACCTGTTATCTATTTATAGAAACTTCCACACCTGTTCCTTCATTCTTGGAATAAAAGCAACAGTTGTAGTTTCCCATTGTGTCAGCTGGAGAAAAGTGAAGCCTAACTTGACAGGGCAAAAGTGAAAGTATGTGAGAAAAATAATCTCAACAATCATGCCATTTCAGTTAATCTTACTTTTTTTGTTCCATTAAGGACACATCCGCATCTCTGACCTGGGTTTGGCTGTGAAGATGTCTGAGGGGAGTCTAGTACGAGGCAGGGTGGGCACACTGGGCTATATGGGTATGTATGGAACTTCTACAGACCCACATAAATCACTAGATTATATGAGTGTGTTGGAAAACAAAGCAATTTATTTTTATGATTGTATGACTTTTATCCATACCTCTCAGTGGTGCTTACTGGCCTGCACACAGATGGATGGACTGCTTAAGTACTTACATAGAGTTTATCTATGTAAGTTTATCCATCACAAAGTCACTAATTGAAATTTAAGTTTATGATGCAGTTTGCATTGTGCTGGGAGTTGGTGATTTGTAGACCTGATTGTTTGTTTTAACACATCAGAAAAACAACAGAAACAAAAAATCAAACAACTGTCAATAAAATCAAAGCAAAGCAAATGGTGATTTTGCTATTTTCTAAGGAACTTTGAAAGAAAGGAATTGGAATTCTTTAAGTTTCTTGAAGATGTTTCACCTCTCATCCAGAAAACGTCTTCAGTTCTAAAACCAAATGAGTCCCAGGTATCTAAATCCTTGTGGGGCTTGTCACTAAAAGGGTTGTTGACCCACTATTAATTGTGTCACATGAGCCAAGGTGAGAAAAAGGCATGGATCATGACCAGCAGAGGTTTTGAGAGAAACTAATGTGATACCTTGGCTCACCCTATTAACCTGAGGTTAACAGAAACCTGAGGCACCTGGGAATAGATCTTAAAATTGCATTGTATGTGACTGACAGTTGGTGTCACAAGCCACCCCCTCTATTCAGTGATGGTCATTCACAGTGAAAATAGATGGCATCTTTTACTCCTCTTTCAAACAATCTGTCTTCTCAGTTCAGAATATGAAAATTGGCATCCTCAAAAGATTGACCTTTAACCTTTAGGCGCAGATCTTTAGCTGGTCTTGTCCTGCTATGTTGTGCCATGCATTGATAGGATGGCTGTTTGGTGTCTCCAATGTAGAATCTCTGAATTCTTGTATTGTAATAGTTTAAAACTTTCAAATTACCTGATGTTGTCAACTGGATGGGAAGAAAGAACCTATTATGACTTTATGTCTACAGTGCTTTCAGAAAATGTTCACAGTGGTTCACTTGTTCCACATTTGTTATGTTACAGCCTATTTCCAAAACTGATTAAATTCATTTGTTTCACCTCTACACACAATACCACATATTGACAAAGTGAAAAAATTAGCTTGAATTTTTTTTTTTTAGCAATTTTATTAAAAAAAACAAAACAAAACTGTAACTTAACTACCCACAGACTTTGCCATAAGACTCCAAAGTGAGTTGAATCCTGGTGCACTGGTCAGATGTTTCTATGACTTGATTGGACTCCACCTGTGGTAAAGTTACTGGGACATGAAGACATAATGTCCAAGGAATTGTCTGTAGACCTCAGAGACAGGATTTTATTGAGGCACACATCTGGTGAAAGGTACAGAAAGATTTCAGCAGTATTTAAGTTCCCAATGAGCACAACAGTCTCCATCATACGTAAAAGGAAGAAGTGTGGAAGCACTCCAGCCAATCTGATCTAAATCGGGGTAGAAGGGTCTTAGTCAGTGAACTGACCAAGAAGCCAATGTTCACTCTGGCAGAGCTCCAGCATTGCACTGTGGAAAGAGGAGAACCTCCCAAAAGGATAATCATTTCTGCAGAACTCTACCAGTCAGGCCTGTATGGTAGAGTGGCCAGTTGGAAGCCAATTGTCATTAAAAGGCACATGACAGCCTTCCTGGAGTTTTGCAAAAAGGAACATGAAGTACTTTCAGACAATGAGAAATAAAACTCTGGTCTGATGAAACAAAGATTGAAATCCTTAAAGTGTCATGTTTGGAGGAAACTAGGCAGCAATGATCCCCTGATGAATGCAATTGCTACAGGGAAGCATGGTGGTGGCAGCATCATTCTCTGGGGTTGTTTTTCAGGAGCAGGAACTACGAGACTAGTCAGGGTTTGGTTTTTAGTAATTTTCACGACATGGAAATATAGACTTATAGAGTACACAAGAATATTGCCTTGGCAATAAGTAACAGCAGCAAAGCATAAAAAGATTATTCGTTTGCATTCCCATTTCAGCTCCTGAGGTGATCGGCTATGAGCGTTATGGAATGAGTGTGGACTGGTGGGGCCTCGGGTGTCTGATTTATGAAATGACTGCAGGTCGGCCCCCTTTCAGGGCCAAAGGAGAACAGCCTAAATCCTCAGAAATGGAGAGAAGGATTCAGAATGAACATGAAGAATATGGCAACCAGTTCAGCAAGGAGACAAAAGACATCTGCTCCTCAGTGAGTTCTTCAAAATGAAACTATTTTTATTTCAGCATGCACAGAAGATGTTCTTTCATCCACATCATACCTTTATCCCCTGATGTATGTCAGATTGTTAAGACAGTACAACAATTTCCAAAAGCCAAGTCATATTCTAATAGGATAGGTTCAGGGTTGCTTACACCTTAGAGATTTACTACGCATACATGTGCTTTTCAGCCTAAATCCTAACCCCAATTTCGGAAGAGGCTGTATTACATCCTTCAAGCAATGAGAACACCTTTTTTTCCACTATTGTAGCTGCTGACCAAGGACCCCACAAAGAGGCTGGGCTCCCAGAAGTCTGGGGGAAAAGATGTAAAATTTCATCCTTTCTTCCAAGAGATCAACTTTCGGATGCTGGAGGCAGGACGCGTTGACCCTCCATTTAAACCTGATGTAAGTACCCAAATGAGATATCTATATCTATAGATTGATAGAGACAGATATCTAGATATGTATGTATATGTGTGTGTATGAATTTGAATTTTGAATATGTATACATACATACATACATACATACATACAGGATTACATTTATGTATTTAAATTGGATTCCATTTAGCTGGATGTAGTGTTTTCGATGTAAGAAATATCTTGTCAAGTGACTTTGGTTTTTAAAGAGTATGTAAAGTACTTAAATAAAAACTGATCAAATGTAGAAGAAGAAGATTTTAACAATCTTAAAGCCATTTAAATTTGTACTCACTGCATGTGGTCTTTTATTTTTAGCCCAGTCAGGTGTACTGCACTGATGTACAGGACATAGAAGAATTTTCCACAGTGAAAGGAGTCCATTTTGACCAGACTGACAGCTTCTTCTACTCCCAGTTCAACACAGGAAGCAATTCCATAATTTGGCAAAATGAGGCAAGTTCTAGGTTACATTACCAGGGTTAATCCAGACAAGAGCTTCAAACCTCACCGTCCTTCTCTGTCTTCCATGTAGCTAATAGAAACGGGATGTTTTGAAGAACTGAATGTTTTTGGCCCTAAGGGATCTGCATCTCCAGATCTCGACTGGTCCCAGGCCCCAGAGAGCCCCAAACGCAGCCTGCTGCGCCGAATCTTTCGCAAAAACGTAAGGACATAAAATACATTCTGTCAAAATGTGTGCCCTTTGTGGAAAGCTGAAGATATCTTTCCTCTTTTCACTCAAACAGCATCATTCAGATTCTGACGGAAGCAGAGAGAACCTGTTGTCCAGTGAGGGCTACAGCTCATCAGGAATACATAACTCTGCCCTGAATCCCAGGAAAGTCTACAACAAAGACACCAAAAAACAACAAGTCATTGTAGCAAAGGGTTCTTCCCTTTAAATCGCAGCACAGCAGGCATTTATTTTGTGTTTTCATTGTCTTCCTTACACCTAATCTGTATTAGCATTTTCTGCTTCTCTCAGGTAAAACAAATGAATAATTTTACACCATCCCAACTTTTTAAAAAGTACTTGAATTTTTAAACAAGTGTACTAGTATATATAGTATATAGTACTAGTATTTTTTTTTAACAATTCCAATATAATAAATGTCATCTGAATAATAAATTATGTGGAATTATCTGGATTAAATGGGTCACCTGGACGTCCAGACGTGTTCAGACCTTTTGGGATTTCTTTACCTGGATGGAGCATGCATCAAGACATTAACTTGTAATAATTTTTCAATTAAAAAAGCAAGCTTGAACCAGATATTTGACATAAACATAAAAACTCAAAGCCAAGTCAGCAGTTAAGCAAGGTTCCTGGTAGAAGTAAAGAGGCAAGGGAGACCTAGTGTTATCTCAGGTATCTTTCAGGGACACAAATGAAGATTTAGGTTGGGGAAAATTGTCAGCCATCCAACTTTTAATAGAGTCTAAGCATCTATTTGGATGCCTTTAGAAAAATCTTGGAGCTTAAAAGAGATATTTAATTAGATGTCATGTTCAGCACAATTTGAGCACCTTTAAGGGCATGCCTTATCTCTGCTAAGAAGAGGGGAAGATATAACAGAAACAATAAAGGCTCCAAAATAGAAAGGCCAACTAACTAGGTAGCACCAGAAACGCTTGCTTGCTAACCAGGCCTCGCTTCCACAACAGGCTGAGCTTCACATGGACGCCTACTCTATTCTGTTCTACTCTACAGTGGGAGTGGGACGAACTGCAGCCGTCTGCATCAAAGCCAAATACTAGGGCTATCATTGTGGAAGTTTACTAGCTGCCACTTTGCTCTCTCTTGATGTTTTTTTCCTCCAAATCGCACAATTAGCTACAGGCAGCACTAAGTGTTTGGTTAGCTTAGACAACTATGCTCAGCTTAAACTAGTTTGGCAACGGATTATGGACACACAACCAGGCGAGTTACTGGTTGCATGAAGCAGCAGGGGAACTGTAGCTAAACTGAGCAGCACCCAGAGCTTGGAGAACCAATCTGAGCAAAGAATGAATGACATCTGTGGGAGCGCAGCAAAATCAAATGGGTTTTAGGCCTGAAGAGTAGAGGTGGTGAAAGCTGCACACTGAAACAGAGCAGTGTGGCCAGTGAATGAGAAAGAGGCTGCAGGCGACTGTGGACAACTTTAACTTTTTTTGCTTTTACAATAATTTTTAAAATGTTTATTTTGATGTGGCCAGTTTTAAAATGCAGGCAGTGACTTTTGATAAAGTACATTTGTAACTTTTCCACAAAGCTCTTCTTTTACAATAAATAAATTGTTCAGATGATAGGTATTATACTGGCTTTTTGTACCCTGTGTGTTAATAGGTTCTAAAATATATTTCACCTTCACTCTCTGTAATGCAATATTTTTTTTTTGTAAAACTTTATAAAAGCTATAAATTAAATCTTAAATCTGACTTCTAATTTGGGAAAAATACCTTTTTCAAGATCTTCCCAGTGGTATTGAACATTTTCCTTGGTAGTGGGTGAATGATGGTGTTCATTACAGCTCATTCAGACACAGTATAGGAGAGAAACTGTGTATAAATTAGTCTTTCTACATCATAGATACAAATAATTTCAAAGTTCACCAGTAAAGCAGCTCCTTAGAAAAAGGCTAGGTGAACCAAAAAGACCATTCAACAAAAAACAGATTTAATTAATCAGATCAACTTGGATGTGGGATTTTTTAATTAAATTTAACCCAGTGTAAAAAAAACACAAACAAATAAAATTCACCCAAAAGAGACAATAACAAAGACTTTCATTTAGACAATAAGTGAAATGGTGAATTGGCTCTGTTTGGCTGCAACAACACACACAACTTCATGGTGCCAAAAATGTGTTGAACTAAAACCTTTCTAAAACATAACAACTTTAAATTATACACATTTGAAACCGGAGCACCATAAGTAAACTAATTCAGAAAAGCCTGATATGGAACTTCGCCCTATGGTAACAATGATATGCAGCCCACAGTTCGGTGTCATTTTAAATGTTTTATGTCTAGGAAGAATTCATTCAGCCCATACTGCTGACGATATTTTAATATTGCAAGAGCTGAAATGCTGCTTATTTGACCTACAGTTTACTGCAGGCATGAAGTGTTTTCATTTTGGCTATCTAAAGGTTGAACAACGTTTTTGACTCAGGGGTGTGTGTATAGTCAGTTCAATGTTTTCATCCCTCCCATGGAGGACTACGTCGTCCATCCACATCAGTCTCCACATGGTACAGCATGTCAGCCAGAGTGTGTTCGATCACAGCTCCCCAGCCCATGTCACTCATCTGAAAGTAATCAAACAATGACTCAGAGGAAGTTTCAAGATCATTTGGAGAAAGTTGGGAATCTTAAAAGGTATGAAGCTCTCACCGGCTGGTACTTAACATCCTTTGGAGGGTATTTGAAGTGCGGTCCAAAATTGACAGAAACCTGAAGAGGTAAGGGTATACTTAAAAAAAACAAACCCCTTTCCAACCTTAAAATCAAATAAATCATCAAATGTGCATGTGTACTCACTGTGCAGCTCTTGTATAGTGAGATGGCAGGGAAGTAGATGCCCTCAAACAGGTTTTCAAAGGCAACACCTTGGTTCACTCCATTTTTGTAGAAAATCATCTGAAAAACAAGAGCCGGGCCAATAAGAGGTAGGTAGTGGAAAATGACAGTAGGTTTTCTCCACTGGAATTAATTTTGAAAAAATGTTCTAACCCTGCTGGGACTCATTGGCTTGAGGCTTTTCTCTGCTTTGTCCACATAGTCCTTCTCCTCAAAGTACAGGTAACTCTTAAACTTAATTAGTGCCTGAAAAGAGAAACTGGTTTTAGATCCAACTAGTCCAAGAAAGACATGAAAACACCACACCCACACCAACCCCTGAGTCCCCGTGTTTTAACACGGCGGGCGTGATTGCGGATGCCGTGCAGGTGCGTCCGCACGGCACCGCAAACCACGCCCCACCACATACCCCCATCGCCCGATTGAGGCCGGGGAGCAATCTGGCCGAACCTACTCCCCCCCCCCCGCGAACTGGGGCGAGACTCGGCCCAAAACATCGGCGCCCCAGCCCAAGCGACGGGGAAGCGTCCATTCTGGTGGCCGCCCGCGCATCCAGCGGCAACGGCGAAGTTGGCCCGGAGGTCGGCCGCGTAGCAAGCGGACACGGCCCCACAGGCATGGCCGTGAGCTCCTGTACCCAGGCAGCTGGGCAGACGTCAGGCGCGCAGAATCGACTGGTGGCAGCGAGGCTGGACTAGCCAGCCCGCCGACCCCCGGCTTAGCGGGGCTGTCCCGCTCCTCTGCCTCCAACTCTGGCTGCGCAGGCTGCCCTGGAGCAGGGACCTCCGTCTCCTCGCACAGCTGCTCCGCCACCGCCTCCGCCACTCCCGTTTGGAGCGGCTCCCCGCACTGCGCCTCCGCCTCCAGCAGGCACAGCCCCTCGTCCACCTCTGGGTGGAGCGACTCCTCTTCCTCCGGCAGGTGTAGACCCTCGCCCGCCTCGTCCTCCGCCTCCGATTGGAGCGGCTCCTCCACCGCTCCCGGCAGGAGCAGCCCTTCACCCGGCTGCTCCTCCTCCTCCGGCAGGCTCGGACCCCCGCGTGACTCGTCCACCACCTCCGGCTGCCGAGGTGCCCCACACGGCTCCTCCACCGCTTCACTGTCCTCGGGACACACTTGTAGGGGTGGCGCCCAGGCCCAGAGCAGCGCCACCAGCTCCCCAATCCTTTCCAGGTGGCGCTCGGACCGGTCCTGCAGCTCTTCCTGCTGGCGACGCACCTCCGCCGCCTGCTCCCGCTGGGCGGCCGCCATTTCGGCCACCCTCCGGGCCAGCTCCTCCATTCCCTGGCTCCAATACGGACCCGCCGTGCCGCCTCCTGGGTTTCGGCACCAATGTGGCGTGAATAAGGCACGGCGGGACCCCGGAGCAACGTTCAGAGCCAACTTTATTTAATTCACGTCACACCACACCCACACCAACCCCTGAGTCCCCGTGTTTTAACACGGCGGGCGTGATTGCGGATGCCGTGCAGGTGCGTCCGCACGGCACCGCAAACCACGCCCCACCACAAATATATATTTATATTATTTTATTTATTTATTTATTTTTATTTACTCCAGCCTAGTAATAATACTGTTAATTTGTGTTATTTCTACAACACAAATTCTGGCTCAGAGGAACACATCTATCATTCCAACAGTTGCTGTTCCTTTAAAAAATACTGGCAGTGGTATCCAGTGGTATAAATCTGATTGGCATTTATCTCTCTTGTATAAGTAACATGGGAGGTGGACAAATGAAACACAGCCAAGCTCTTGGGACCATTTTGATACAACTGCATGTGACAGAAATGCAATGCTGAACACAAGAAGAAATCAGAAGTGCAGCTGATGTAGCTGCGGTTACCTTGTCCTTGTATGTATCAGGCAGAGCCTTCGCTGTCTCTGTGTCTTCAGGCAGCTCTATGAAGAAGCCCAGTGTGTCTCCCTGACTGTAGCCTGAGGAATAATGTTTTCCTATTGACTGGTGAAACCGCGTCCCTTTCTTACTGCGCCAAGAGTAGCTGAACTTGTCATAACCCAGAGGCGCCTGCAGGTTACCTAAGTTATAAATAAGATCCAACATGTTAGATATTGTGGTATTAACATTTTGTCAAAGCAGCTGAGTATCTAACTCTATATTAGGGCTGCCAGATTATGCCAAAGAATGATATCCACTATCCACTCTGGTAAAGAGTGACAACACAATTTATTATTTAAATTGAAGGGAATACATATTAACTGAAAAATGAGTAAGGACAAACAAACCTTAAAGCTGAAAGGAAAAAGAGGACCTGTTCTGATGTATATATCAATACATAATAATGGCAGATACTCATTAAAGAAAAATTTTGAGGTTTGTGAATTTCTTAGCCTCCCATCTAGTTAGGAGCCACAGAGGTGGCTGAAGGCTGTCCCCGAAGTCACTACATAAGACGCAGTATACACTAGGGCTGGGTCATATCATACAGTTCATGGTAATACTGGTATAATGTTGGGCAACGATAAGAAAATGAAATATCGTGATAGAATATGGGTAAAACTTGCATGTGCAGTGCCTTTGTTTTCATAGGCACATGGCAGAAAAAGCATGGCGGACGAAAGCGGATCGTTGAATGAAACGGATGAACCAGAATTGGTTTGTAAAAATGTTGCAACTTCAGTGTGGAACTGGTTTAGCTTTCGTCCGTCAGATACACAACAAAGTACTATTTTTTGTAGAGCATGCTAGCGGGCCGTCGTTATTACCGTGTTTTTTGGAAAATACGGCACACTTAAAATTAATCCTTTGATTTTTCTGAAAATCGACAGTGCCCCTTATAATCCCGTGTGCTTTATGTATGAATTCTGGGTGTGTTTACTGACCTGGAAACGATTTTATGTACACATTTTTATATAACTTTAATGCACATAAAAACAAAAACAGGTGCTAATGATCAACTGACCACTTTTTTTCTATGCTTAAGTGCTTTCTATCCAACAGTCACACGCCGATGGAAACAATGGAGAGCAATTTGGGGTTAGTATCTTAATATCCCTGCCAGTCTTGTGACCTACTCTGCCTCCTGAGCCAAAGCCAACATTAAATGTACATGTTGTGCATTTTGAACATGTTAATGTATATACAACTAATCTTTATTGTCCAAAAACTGAAAATAGCTCTGTAGTAAAAGCGCTATACAAATACAGGCCATTTACCATTAGATCGGCAGTAACAGCAGGTAGCCCCAATATAATTACTATCTCAGGAGCACAGCTTTGAGAGCCCAAAGGCAAACTGAATTCTGATGTGCCAAACACATTTGCTTTGTCAAGGGTAGCTCTACAAATCTCTCCTGCTACTCAATTTCTTTTCCTTAAACATAAATAAATAAAAAAAATAAATAAATACTATTCACATTAATATATTTATTACATAACAATCATGATAAGAGTGAGAAGCCAGAGATCCAGGAGATCTGAGCCCTGCATGGGTCCTCAAGAGTACAGAAGACCCAGACATCACCATGCACAGAGGACAAGACCCCAGGGCCTTAAACACCATAAAATCTTCCTGGCACCCTGCAAACCATCATTAGACGTCACCCTAGCCTCACTTTAAACAGCCTGAGCCTGATTTGGCAGTTCAGCTATAAGTCTAATGAACGGAGTGTCCCACTTGCTTTTCAGCCGAGCACACACCTGACCGACCCAAACCTGAATCTGTGGTCCTTTTGAGCAAGATTACTACTGTGACAAAATGTCATCACTAAGGGAAATCTAAAGGTCTAATATAAGCCATTATTTTTTCTTTCCATCATTTCATTTTTTTCTGTATTAAAATTTGATTTTCAATTTGTTAGTTTTTGTAACAAACAATTGTTTCTATAGTTTTAGTTTTTAAATCAGAATGAAGGCTCTGGTTATCACAATACACTTAAATGATATTGACCCACAGTGATGACATTCCTGCCTCAATGCACAAAATATACATTTCTTTTAGTTAATTTTTCAGATACACTATATAATTTTCTTTAAATTTGTTTTTATTCTTTTACAAGTTAAGAAAAATATCTTT